TGCGTGTGTGTGCGTGCTTTGATGAGGAGCTAATTTTGCTGTTGTGGGGAAAAAACAACTTGAAAAATGTAAATTGTTCTGAGAGGATTTCTCTACTTTTTACCACCATTGGACTTAAAGCCTGATGCAGTGACATGTTTACCACCACACACACACTCACACACACACACACTCACACACACACACACACACACACACACACACACTCACACACACACACACACTCACTCACACACACACACACACACACACACACACACACAATGACCCCATTCTTCTTCTTATAACTTCTGTAATATGCAGATTTCTTTCCTCCGTTTGATTCAGTGACGCAGCGCGGTGAAGGAAAGCGATCCATCTGGCTCTGGAGTGCGGTTAATAAGGACATCTCTGTGCACGGCTTTGGACACAACCACATAAATCTTGTTAAGAACTTGAGAGCACACTGTGTTTTGAAAGCCTTGCAGCTGACAAATATCATACAAATGGTCCCTAATGAAACACAGGAACCTTGTTTGGAGTGATTTGACTTGGATGAGCTGTCTGGAGCTCTCCGGCCGTCTCAGGGTTGCTGTTGTTGCACCGCCGTGTGCCAGAGACTCACAAAGGCTGAGGATGGCATTGTTTGCTGTAAGGACATTTGTGAGTCTAGTGTACGGTGGTGTGTATCGCTGGTGTTTCTGTAGGTCTGTTGCATGTAGAAAGGAATGAAATCCCTTCTATCAAAGACTTTTCTGCAGAGCTCTGTGATTCGCCTGCAAGTGCGCGTTGGTGTCGAGCTGAAATGGAATCGGGCACCAACAGGAGACCTTCAGAGAACACCTCCCAGCTTCAGTGGAGTGTCAGTGCATTTGAGAATGAGTGTAACTTGTGGCCTTTAAAGACTTCTGTGCATCTGTGTGTCCAGAAAAGTAAAACACTGCAAGTTTCCATTCTGAAGAGGAAAGCTGTACCACAGCCGCACAAATACAGGCTGGGACGAGTTACCGACATATGTCGCTTATATTAGTTATTTGGCGAAATATCTCAAATTACTGATGACTAAAAATGTAAAAAGTAAGGAAGAGGTGGGAGAAACACTCTTCATCCATGCTATCAGTGCTGATGTTGCATAGTTTGTCCACCAGGGGGCGCTCTGCAACATCTCTGTTTGGCAATACGTGTCTGAAAATGGTATTCATTTTGCTGACCAATACTTTTTGTGATAGCTTTCGTCACCGACCTTTGTTTCTCACCAAAATACGATGATGAAATGTTTTTTTGTTTTTTTTTTTCTTTTTCCCCTGTGTACCTGTTCTGACTCTTGATTCTTCTTGTTCCTTGCTTCTTCTGTGTTGCTTTGTTCTTATTTTGCTTGATGTGTTGCTGTTTCCCTGCTCTTTGATTGCTCCCTTGGTCCTTTCTTTTTTTCTCTGCGTGATTCTTTTGATTTTTTGTTTTGATTTTGTTTTTGTTTGGGATTTGTTGTGTTTTTGATTTCTTTGTTCTGTTTGAAAATTTTTTGGTTTTTTTATTTTCTTTTTCTTTTTTTGAATGTTTTTTTATTTTGGATTTTCTGTATGATCTTGTTGTTTTTCTTGGTTGATTGTTATTTTTGTGGTATGTTTTTTGTGGTTATTTTTGTTTTAATCTTTTCTGTTTGATTTTTATTTTCTGTTGATTGATTTTTTGCTTTTTTTTTTGGTTCTGTGTGTTTTTTGTTGCGTGTCTTTTGCTTTGTGTTCTTGATGTTGACTGGTTTGAATGTTTCTTTAACAATGTTCTGTTTTGTTTGTTTTTTTTTTTTTTTTTTTTTTTTTTTTTTTTTTTTTTTTTTTTTTTTGTTTTTTTTTTTTTTTGTTTTTTTGTTTGTTTTTTTGTTTGTTTGTGTTTGTGTGTGTGTGTGTGTGTGTGTGTGTGTGTGTGTGTGTGTGTGTGTGCTGTTTGTTTGTGCATGTGTTTGTGCATGTGTCTGTGTGTGTGTTGTGTGTGTTGTTGTTTGTGTTCTTGATTTTTTGTGTTTTTGTGTTGTTGTTTTTGTGTTCTTGATGTTTTGTTCTTTGTTTTGTGTTCTTGAGTGCTTGTGTTCTTGATGTTTGTGTGTTCTTGGTGTTTTTGTGTTATTGATGTTTTTGTGTTCTTGATGTTTTTTTTTTTGTTGGTGTTTGTTGTGTTCTTGTTTGTGTGTCTTGTGTTTTTGGTGTTTTTGCTTTTTATGTTGTATGTGTGTTTCATGGTGTTTTTTTGTTCTTCGTGTTGCTCTTTGACTTCTTTTTCTCTCTTTCCATGTCTTCCTTGCTATGTCTCTTTTTCTGTTTGTCTGCTTCTATTGTTCTTTTTGTTGTTTTCTCTTCTTGCTGCTTTTTTGGCTTCTGCTGTGATCTTGATCTTTTTTTTTCCTCTTTCTGTCTTTGTCTTTTTTCTCCATGCTATCAGTGCTATGTTGCATAGTTTTCCACCAGGGGGCGCTCTGCAACATCTTGTTTGGCAATACGTGTCTGAAAATGGTATTCATTTTGCTGACCAATACTTTTTGTGATAGCTTTCGTCACCGACCTTTGTTTCTCACCAAAATACGATGATGAAATGTTTTTACTTTGGTCAACCAATAAAAATGAGATGAAAATATTGTGGAGAGATGAGATCCAATCAAAACTAATAAAGTTGTGCAGAAAGGCGGGACGAGTCCAGCTAGCTCCCAGTTTCTCATGAAAATGTGACAAAATGCTTAAAGAGAAGAGAAAAGCAGACACATGAACACATTTCATGTGGCGTCGAGGAAAATAAGACGCTGAGGAGGAACTCTCACTGTAACACGACAGACTTTCTCTTTATTTAGCCTCTACAACCTGATTCTGTTTAGTCGACTGAAACTACAATAATTTATTATAAATTACGACTAAAATCGAATT